GCCCCAGAACACTACCCGCTCGATTGTAAATCTTCCCCTGATCCTGGTGCCAGCTCCTCCAGAGAGAAAGGAACGTGTCGAAATCAAAACTCCAAACCTGAAAGTGACTTATTCCCACTATCCATTTTCTGTCCTTTATCATTCCTCACACCAGGTCTCATTTCCCCATCACTACCTGGGCTCACTGATGTACGTTGTCTGCTGGTTGAGCAACAATTGCATTTATTAATTCTACATCCTTGTGTCTGCAAATCCCTTCCTAGCCTCATCCCTCCACCTCCATTCAATTGTTCCATCCCTTCATCAGTCAGTTGTTTCAGGTTCCTTCACTGTACATGTCCAGTTCACTGCAGAGAATGACTAACTCCTATCTGCTGCTACACCCTATTTTGACCCCCACCCCCAATTTCTCACACACTATCACATTTACACACTTATTCATGCGCTCACAGACTCTCAGTCACTTACTTACATGTTCGCAAAACATACACCTAAAACCTCACAGTCTCTCTGTCACATGCAATCACACTACCTTGCAGACCCTGTCTCTCTCACACAAGCACATTATTGCTCAAGTCAACTCATTCACAAACTTACATCCAATCTGTCTCTCTCTCACACACACACACAATTAAAAACACACAGACTGTCACAATCTCTCACCCACACATTCTCACATTCACACTCACAGTCCATGATGACACTATCACGAGCATATATAATTTCGTACAAACTCATGTTATCTCACAAATTTAAAACAAACTCGTACTCATCCGTAGGCAATCTCTCAAACTGTCATTCCCATAAAAAATACACATTAACAACACACTCTCACTCTCTCACACACTCACATACTCTGACACATGCATACTTTCTAAATCTCACACACACATACAATTTCACTTTCTCACATGTGGTATCTTTCTCGCATGCAATTTCTCTGGAAATCCAACACACAATTTCACTCTCTCCCACACACAATATCACTTTCCCTGTCACACATACATTCTCACTCAAACAATGATCCTGGGGTGTTGGGGGAGGACTCCGTGTGTCTTTTTACCTAAGTGTTTATGTGTATGATCCTCCTTGTGTGTGAGAGACAATGAATATCATGAATGTGCGTCTCTGTATGTGTGAAATATTTGTCACTGCGTATATGCATTATACATCACTTTATGCTGTGTGACAGCGTACACTGAGTGAGAGAGCAACAATGTACATCACTCATTTCTGTCCATATCTGCATGTTTGTATGACAGTACATTACAGATGTGTTTGCCTGTATGTGAGTGTACACTACTCAGACATGTACGTCTGTCTGTGTATTGTATGAGTGTGTTTGTCTATATGTGACCATGCACAACACTGAGTGATGTGTGTTTGTGTGTATGTGTTTATGAAACAGTGTACATCAGTGAATGATGTGTGCCTGTGTGTGGGACAGTGTTCATCGCTGAAAGATTGTGTGTGTTTCTGTTTATTTTTGTAAACATTGTACACCACATTGTGCTGTGTGTCAGCATACTCAGTGTTTGAAAAAGAACAGCAGTGTACATCACCGAATGCTTTCTATCCATCTGTGTGTGTTTGCATGTATGACAATGTACAGCACTTATTGGTGTTCTTGTTTGTCTGTGACAGTGTGCATCACTGAGTCATGTATGTGTGTGTCTGTGCGAATGTGTTTGTTTGTGAGAGACAGTGCATCACTGATGTGTGTTTTCCTGTGTGTGTGAGACAGTGTACATCAGAGTGATGTGTACGTGGTGCGTGTGTAAGTGTGAATTTGTGCTTGTGTTTGTCAGGGCTGCTCGTCTGGACACAAAGTGCATTTACTTTCTCTGTCTAACCTTCTCTCTTTCTCTCTTACACTCTCTCTCTCCTTGACTTTCCATCCCATAAGACCATAAGTCTATTAAAAAAGGAGCTGACTGGTTAGATATGGGGCCCCAAACTGCTCACAATATTCCAAATGCGGTTTGACCAGAGTGTTATACAGCCTCGGCAGTACTTTCTGCTTGCTTTCTAGTCCTCTTGAAATGAATGCCAACATTGCATTTGCCTTCCTAACCCCAAATAAACCTGCATATTAACCTTAGAGAATCCTGAATTAGCACTCCCAAGTCCCTTTTGTTTCTGATTTCTGAAGCCTTTCTCCATTTAGAAAATAGACTACGCACCTATTCTTCCTGTCAGTGCCTCACCTCACACTTTCCCAAGTTGAATTCCATTTCTCACTTTTTGCCCACTTGCCAAGCATGTCCAACCTTCTGCAACCTCCCAACTCCTCAACACTACTGTAACTCCACCTATTTTTGTGTCATCTGCAAATTTAGCAACAATTCCCCTAGTTTGTTTTTCCAGCTCATTAATGCATAACATGAATAGTTGTGGTCCCAACACTGACCCCTGCAAAAATCCAATAGTCACCGTCTGCTATCCTGAAAAAGATCCCTTTTTACCTTTACTCTCTACCTTCTGTCAATCAGCCAATCCTCTATGCAGGCCAGTACCTTGCCCTTAACACCATGCACTCTTATCTTATTTAGCAGCCTCTTGTGTGGCAGTTTGTCAAAGGCCTTCTGGAATTCCATATAGATCACATCCACTGACTCTCCTTTGTTCAACTTGCTCTTAACCGCTGCAAAAATATTCTAATAATTTTTCATACGTGACCCCCCCATCTTGATGAAGCCATGCTGACTCAGCCCTATTTTACCATGCACTTCCAAGTACGCTGCAATCTCATCCTTAATAATGGAATCTAAAATCCTACCAATGACCGAGGTCATGTGAACCCAAAAATAGTTTTCCATCTTCTACCTGTCTCCCTTCTTAAATGGGGTGGGGGGCATTATTACATTCGCCAGTTTCTAGTCCTCTGGGACCCTCCCTGACTCCAGTGATTCACAAAAGATCACTACCAATGTCTCTACAATCTCCTCAACTATCTCCTTCAGAAGTTTGATGTCATATTTATTTTGAGTTTCCAACCTGCAAATACATTTCTAATATCCTGTAAAACATAAGCTGCTGCTCACAGTCCAAATGTCATCTTCAGCTCACCATTCTCAGTTCAAAGCTTCAAGCCAAAATTGCTAAAAGAATAAAATGAAAATAATGAAAAATCAGTGAGAGTTCTAACAACCCACAATTAACTTTCAGGCCCATCCTCACAAATAAACAAACTGCTTTTTGTCTCTGAGAACAAACTTGAAAGTTAATTTAACTTTCAAGTTTGTTCTCGATCAAAAGAATTCCATAGATGCATCGACTCCAAACTGGCAGTATGACTAATCAGACAGCAGATGCTTGGTCATGAGCAAAGTCATTGCTAGGGAATTAGTGCCAGCAAGTCTGTAAGAAAGACAATGGTCAAACCCAGGAAGGGGCCAAGGTTTGAACTGGTTTGTGGGACTATAGCTTTTGTGAGGAGTCTGGATGTTGATATAACTGCATAAAGGTTTAAGAACTCCTTGCCTAACCTTCCATTAATAGTCATTGGAAGTTCAGAGAGTAGAAGGTTTTAACTATCACTGAATTCTTCAGAGTGAATGAAACAGTGGCTCTGTTTGTTACCTTCAGAACATCAACCAAGAAACAATGTAAAACAACGCATCGTAATCTGGACAGTTTTGTTATTTTATGTTTGTCAGTCATTTGCATGATTGCAGCTGACAACAAAGGTTGTTGGGTTTAACTCATAGACAGCAAGTAGTGAATTTGTTGTTTCAATTTGCTCTAAATTTTCTGTATTGTTAATAAATTGCTAAGTCTTTTGTTTAAGCTACAGATTCGGTGTCTAGGATTGATATTCACCGAGTGTAGGAACAGTTATTCAAAACGTCTTGTTTAAAAACTTGTTGGGGTCAATTTTGAGGATCTTTGAAGGTTTTCATTTTACTGAGTTGTGACCACAGAGATGGAAAGACTGATTTGGTTCTGCTATCTGGCTCTGTGTCATCGTATAATTGTAGGCTCGAGTCCTACATCTGTAACATAGACAATGCAGATCTTGAATTAGATTTTGGTACTTAGAGCGGATAATCAGACACCAAGTTTCTACTTAGACTTAAGATGGTACGTCAGGAGTGTGATGGGATATTCCCCACTTGCCTGAATTGATGCAGCTCCATCAACACTGAAGGAGTTAACATTCCAGCTTGACACCATCCAAGTCAAAGAGTCTTATTGGCAGTAAATCCACAAGCATCCACTCCCTCCACCACTGATGATCAGCAGTAGCAATGTACAATTATCCACAAGAAAGGGGAGCACGGTGGTTCAGTGGTTAGCACTGCTGCCTCCCAGCACTCAGGACCCACGTTCAATTCAGCCTTGGGTGACTATCTGTGTGGGTTTCCTCTGGGTGCACAGGTTTCCTCACACAGTCCAAAGATGTGTTGGCTAGGTGGATTGGCAAGGCTAAATTGCCCGTGATGTCCAGGGATGTCCAGACTAGGTGCATTAGCCATGGGAAATGAAGCATTACAGGAATAGAGGGATGGGATGCTCTTCGGAGGGTCAGTGTCAGCTTGATGGGCTGATGGCCTGCTTCCACACTGTAAGGATTCTATGAAGATGCTCTGCAGAAATTCACCATAGAGCCTTACACAGCACCTTGCAAACCAACAACCACTTCTTATCTAGAAGGACAGGGGCAGCAGATACACATGATCACGCACTACCTCCAAGCCACTCACCATCCAGTGTCGCTGGGTCAAAATCCTGGAATTCCCTCCCCATTATGGGTCAACTCTCAGCAGATGGACGGCAGTGGTTCAAGAAGGCAGCTCACTACTGCCTTCTCAAGGGCAACTAGGGATGGGCAATAAATGCTGGCCAGCCAGTGATAGCCACGTCCCATGAGTGAAAAAATTTATTACCATCTACAATTGCCTGTGAGAAGATGGAGGGGGAGCAGTTTGGCACAACGTCAAGACTAGTTTGGAGAGAAGGGATATTTAAGATTGTTAAAGAAAGACATATTTATAGAATTTGTATATTGTGCATTTATTTAGCAGCTTTCACAACCAGCGGACTTCTCAAAGCACTTTTGAACCAGTTAGGACCTTTTTGAAGTGTGATGTTGTTGTAATGTGGGAAATACAGCAGCCAATATCCAGTCAGCAAACTCCCACAAATAGCAAGGACAGAATGAGCAGAAAGTCTGTGTTTGAGATGTTGACTAGGACAGTGGGTCGAAACCCTCTGTTCTTTCTTCAAATAGTTTCGTGGGACCTTTGTACATCCTGGCATTTGGATCCAATTCATAGTCTCTTCTTTCCTGACTGAAGTTTCACCAGATCAAAACTGAGCCTCAATTTCCTCATCTGCCTGGTAGAATCTCCTCTTCCTCTGTTATGGAGATTGATACCAAGTGAAATATTAAAAACTTTTGATACTGTTGATGGACTGTGTGTTAGTGAACTTCACCTCGAATAATTTTGTGAAACTTTTTAAAAAAATTGTGTAAAACCTAACTACATGCCCAGAAGATAACACAGTGAGTCAGTACTTGACCTCAATCTACCTTCATGGATAGCCGATCATATTTGGTCAGTGCTTCTGCACAGTTTTGGTTTAAAACCTTCTGTGCTCATGTCAAGAGGAATTAATTCTCTGGTACATGGTTCAAACCAGGAATGATGAGAAGTACAGTTAACGGGATTCCAACCTGAACGGGGAGACACACATGGATTTCCAAACTGTCTGTGCCATCCTGTGGGAAGAGCCACTCAGTCAGTCTCATGGCTCCATTTGTTCAATGGTTTGCATGGAAATAGGACTGGAAATCTTGAAGTGGTTGAATACAAACAGGTTGGCAGACTCCAGCAGATTTATCAGCCCATTGCTGGGCCAAAAGCACAGGTTCTGCAGAATCCAACTGTTAGCCAGATAAATTCAGAGCCAAGAATGGGATCGTTCAGTCTGTCACAGCCATGTGGTCCTCTGTAAAATCAACATCGTTCACTGCTCAAACCTTTCCTTATCTGTCCTGAACAATTTATGTGAATATCTCTCCTCATCCCACGAATCAAAATCAAAATCAAAAACAGCAAAATTCAACTGCCTGAGTCATAACGATCACCTGCTCAGCCCAAAGTAGTTATCATGTTCTTTGACAGCTATGGGATTCATACCTATGACTCCAAAGATGCTATGATGTAGAGGTGCTGGTGTTGGACTGGGGTGGACAATGCCAGAAGTCACATGACACCAGGTTATAGTCCAACAGGTTTATTTGAAAACACAAGCTTTCGCAATGCTGCTCTTTCGTCAGGTGAAGACTTCAGCAGTGCTCAGAAAGTTTGTGATTTCAAATAAACCTGTTGGACAATAACCTGATGTTGTGTGACTTCTGACCTTGTCCAGAGAGGCTGGAACCTAAATCCACTGCTTCAGACCACTTAGCCACAATACCTGCCATATGGTAGAAAAACAGAAGTTGCTGGAAAAGCTCAGCGGGTCTGGCAGCTTCTGTGAACAAAAATTAGAGTTAATGTTATGGGTCTGGCGACCCTTCCTCAGAACTGATGATAGATAGGAAAATGAGAGATAGTAGGAACTGTAGATGCTGGAGAATCCGAGACAACAAGGTGCAGAGCTGGATGAACACAGCAGGCCAAGCAGCATCACAGGAGCAGAAAGGCTGACGTTTCGGGCCTAGACCCTTCTTCAGAAATGGGGGAGGGGAAGGGGGTTCTGAAATAAATAGGGAGAGAGGGGGAGGCGGATAGAAGATGGATAGAGGAGAAGATAGGTGGAGAGGAAACAGACAGGTCAAAGTGGCAGGGATGGAGCCAGTGAAGGTGAGTGTAGGTGGGGAGTTAGGGAGGGGATAGGTCAGTCCAGGGAGGACAGACAGGTCAAGGGGGTGGGGACAACAAGGTGCAGAGCTGGATGAACCAAGCAGGCCAAGTCTAGGCCGGAAACGTCAGCCTTTCTGCTCCTGTGATGCTGCTTGGCCTGCTGTGTTAATCCAGCTCTGCAACTTGTTGTCATAGATAGGAAACTGTTAGTTTATGCACAGAAGATAGGGTGGGGGTAAGGAGTAAATGATAGGTGAGGATAGAGCCCAAAGTGAGAAAAGAACAATTGGACAGATAAGAGAGTTGATAATGACTGCATTCGCTGCTCACAATGTGGTCTCCTCTACATTGGTGAAACGAAGCGTAGACTGAGTGACTGCCTTGCAGAACATCTATGTTCTGCCTACAAAAAAATACTGTGAGCTTCCAGTTGCCCGCCACTTTAACACATCACCTTGTTCTCCGGCCAACGTCTCTGTCTCAGGCTTGCTGTGGTGTTCCAGTGAAACTCAGCGTAAGCTGGAAAAACAACACCTCATTTTCCGCTTGGGGACACTGCAGCTCTCTGGACTCAATATCGAGTTCAACAATTTTAGGGCCTGAACTCTCCAATGTCCTAGCCCCCTATCCCACACACCAGACCTCGTTATCACATAGCCTGCCATTATACACTACTTATTGTTAGCTACTAACTGCTCCAACACTCTCATTCCACCTGGACCCCTACCTCTGGCCTTTTACCTGCACTCAATCTGGACAGTGAGAATTGTTGGTGTGACATTGGTCGCCGCAATTTCTCTGCTCCCCTCACCCAATCCTGCCTATCTCCCTTCGAACTTACTGCACTTGTATGCTTAGATCTGACCCTGATTTCGTTATTATGCCTGCCAATAAGTGTTGTAGTTTGGCGTACTGACCTCTACATTCCAGAAGTGGAGTGCCAAGTCTCAGACACCTCCTCCTATCTTCCCCTGGACCATAACCCCACCATGGCACATCAAGCCATTGTATCCACTGTGGTAACTGACCTCAGTTCATCTGGTGATCGATCCCCCCACCCCACCCCCCCCTCCCCCAATGCCTCCAAACTGATAATCCCCCAGCCCCGCACAGCTCACTACTACCTCATTCTGAAAGTCCACACAAAGGACTGCTCAGGAAGACCCATTGTTTCATCCTGCTCCTGCCTCACAGAACTCACCTCTTCCTACCTTGACTCAATCTTTTCTCCCCTGGTCCAGTCACTGCCCACGTACATCTGTGATTCCTCTGATGGTTTTAGCCAGTTTCAGAATTTCCACTTTGCAGACTCCAGCCACCTCCTCTTTACGATGGACATGCAATCCTTTTACACATCCATCCCCCAGCAGGATGGTCTCAGGGCTTTCCGCTTCTTCTTGGAGCAAAGGCCCGAACTGCCCCATGCACCATCACCCTCCTCCGCTTGGCCGAGCTCATCCTCACCCTAAACAACTTCTTTTTTAACTCCTCTCAATTTCATCAGGTCAGAGGGGTGACCATGGGTACCCGCTTGGGCCCCAGTTATGCCTGTCTCTTTGTGGGATACATGGAACATTCCTTGTTCCAGTCTTAATCTGGCCCCCAGCCATAACTCTTTCTCTGATACATCGATGATGTCATCAGTGCTGCTTCCCTCTCTCGTCTGGAATTGGAAAAGTTAATCAATTTCACTTCCAATTTTCACCCTGCCCTCACTTTCACCTAGTCAATCTCTGACTCCTCCCTTCCCTGCCTCAACATCTCTGTCTCCATTTCTGGCGATAGACTGGCCACTAATATCTACTATAAACCCATCAACTCTCACAGTTACCTGGACGATACTTCCTTGCAACCTGCTTCCTGTAAAGACCCCTGTTCCATTCTCTCAGTTCCTCTGTCTCCATCGTATATTTTCCAATGAGGCCAACTTCAATAAGGGAACCTCCAAAATGTCCAGAGATAACAAGGTGTCGAGCTGGATGAACACAGCAGGCCAAGCAGCATCAGAGGAGCAGGAAGGCTGACGTTTCGGGCCTAGACCCTTGATCCTCGGTAGTATAGTGGTTAGTATCCCCGCCATTTCTGAAGAAGGGTCTAGCCTTCCTGCTCCTCTGATGCTGCTTGGCCTGCTGTGTCCATCCAGCTCTACACTTTGTTATCTCAGATTCTCCAGCATCTGCAGGTCCTACTATCTCCGAAATGTTCACCTTCTTTCTCAACTAAGGATTCCTGAGCACTGTTTTCGACAGGGTCCTGAACCAGGCCCAATCCATCTCCCACACTTCTGCCCTCACCCCTCTCTTCCCTCCCGCAACAGCGATAGGATTCCCCTTGTCCTAACCTACCATCCCACCAGCATCCACATCCAGAAGATCATCAGCCCCCATTTCCACCACCTCCAGCGAGATGCCACTATCAGACACATATTCTCCTCATCTCCCTTGTCCACCTTCCACAGGTCCCTCTGGCACACGCTGGTCGACTCTTCTTTTACTCCCAACAGCACTACGGCACCTTTCCCTGTAACTGCTGAAGGTGTAACATCTGCCCATTTACCTCCTCCCTCCCCAGTATCCAAGGGCACAAACATACCTTCGAGGTGAAGCAGCACTTTACCTACTCTTCCCATAATGTAGTCTATTGCATTCTACTGCTCATAATGTGGTCTTCTCTGCATTGAAGAATGAAATGTAGACTGGGTGACTGCTTCGCAGAACATCAACGCTCTTCCTGCAAAAAAGACCTGAGCTTCCAGTTGCCTGCCACTTTAACACACCACCCTGTTCCCTGGCCAACATCACTGTCTCAGGCTTGCTATAGTGTTTCAGTGAAGCTCAGCACAAGCTGGAGGAACAACACCACATTTTACACTTGGGGACGCTGCAGCTCTTCAGATACAATATCGAGTTCAACAGTTTTAGGGCCTGAACTCTCCCATGTCCTAGCCCGCTACCCCACATGCCAGGCCTTGTTATCACATAGCCTGTTATCACACTATCTATTGTTAGCCACAAACTGTCTCCATTAGCAGGTATTCACCCTCCCAGCCAGATCGTTGTCAACTCCCTTGTTTGTCCAACTCCTCTTCTCCTTCTCAAGGGTCTATCCCCACCTATCGTTTACTCCTTACCCCGCACCCCTCCCCACCCCCCGTATCTTCTGCATATAAACCAGAGGCGACCAGAACTGGACACAATACTCCAGATGTGGCCGAACCAGGGTTTTGTACAGCTGGAGCATAACTTCACAGCTCCTGAACTCAATCCCTCTATTAATGAAAGCCTACACACCATACACCTTCTTCACAACTCTATCCACCTGGATGGCAGATTTCAGGGAACTGTAGACATGAACCCCAAGATCCCTCTGCTCCTCCACATTGCCAAGAATCTTTCCGTTAACCCTGTATTCTGCTTTCAAGTTTGTCCTTCCAAAAGAATCACCTCACACTTTTCAGGGTTAAACTCCATCTGCCACTTCTCAGCCCAGCTCTGCAGCCTATCAATGTCCCTTTGTAACCGAGAACAGCCCTCCGCACTATCCACATCTCGACCCACCTTCATATCGTCCGCGAACTTACTAATCCGCCCTTCCACTCCTACATGCAAATCATTTACAAAAATCACAAACAGAAGATGACCTAGAACAGATCCTTGTGGTACACCACTCGTAACTGAGCACCATGTTGAATATTTTCTGTCCACTACCACCCTTTGTCTTCTAAGGGTCAGCCAATTCTGAATCCAATCTGCCACATTTCCCCCTATCCCATGCCTCCTTACTTTCTGCATGAGCCTACCATAGGGAACCTAATCAAACGCCTTACTTAAATCCATGTATATCACATCCACTGCTCTACCTTCATACACGTGTTTGGTCACCTCTTCAAAGAATTCAATAATCCATGCTGTCGATCACGAATCAAACTGTGCCTTTCCAAGTGATCATAAATCCTATCTCTCAGAGCCCTTTCCAATAATTTGCCCACCACTGACGTAAGATTAACTGGCCTGTAATTTCCAGGGTTATCCCTACTCCTGCCACTCCCCAATCTTCCGGCACTAAACCCGTGGACAGTGAGGACGAAAAGATCATTGCCAAAGGCCCTGCGATCTCTTACCTTGCTTCCCATCAAATCCTTGGATAAAAACCATCAGGCCCGGGGGATTTATCTATTTTCAAGTTCCTCAAAACTCCTAGTACATCTTCCTTACTAACATCCACCTCCTCCAGCCTACCAGCCTGTTTCACGCTGTCCTCCCCTACAACTCGGTCCCTTTTAGTTGTGAATACCGAAGAAAACTATTCATTAAGGACCTCTCCTATCTCTTTACGCTCCGTGCACAAATTCCCTTTACAATCCTTGATCAGCCCTACACTTTCTCTGGTCATTCTCTTATTCCTCACGTAAGTGTAAAAAGCTTTGGAGTTTTCCTTGATCCTATCTGCCAAGGCTTTCTCATGCCCCCTTATAGCTCTCCTAATTCCTTCCTTCAGCTCTTTCCTGGTTAACTTGTATCCCTCTAGAGCCTTTTCTGATCCTTGTTTCCTAAACCTTAGAAAACATCCTTCTTCCTCTTAACTAGTCGTTCGACGTCTCTCGAGAACCAAGGCTCCCTCACTCGACCGCATCTTCCCTGCCTGCTAGGGACAAACATATCGATCACACACAGTATGCATTCATTAAACAATCTCCACATTTCTATAGTGCTCTTCCCTGACAGTATCTGTCCCCATTTTATGTTACCCAGTTCTTGCCTAACTGAATTATAATTACCCTTCCCCCAGTTATAAACCTTACCCTGCTGTATGTACCTATCTTTTTCCATGACTATTATAAAAGTAACAGAGTTATGATTGCTACCGCCAAAATGCTCTCCTTGCCAACAGGTCTAACACTTGGCCCAGTTCATTGCGAAGCTCCAAATCCAAAGTGGCCCCTCCTCATGTTGGTCTATCTACATACTGTGTCAGGACGTATGGGACAAAATCCGCTCCATCTAAACTATTTCAACTAAAAGGTTTCCAATCAATGTTTGGAAAGTTGAAGTCACCCATGACTACAACCCTGTGACTTCTGCACCCTTCCAGTATCTGCCTCCCAATCTGCTCCTCCACTTCTTTGCAACTTCACTGCATCAGATGTGGAGCAAAGAAGCAAGAAGCACCTTTCATATGCCTCCGACCTGTTCTCCCTCTTCTTGAGTGTCCTGAGGAAGAGTCACCGGACCCGAAACATTAACTCTGTTTTTTCCTTCACAGATGCTGCCAGACCTGCTGAGCTTTTCCAGCAAATTTGTTTTTGTTCCTGATTTACAGCATCCGCAGTTCTTTCCGTTTTCATTAACTCTGATTGTTTTGTTCACAGACGCTGCCAGACCTGCTCAGCTTTTTCAGCAACTTTTGTTTTGTTCATGAGCTCTTGATGGATTGCCAACAAAATACCTGTTTCTCCCCAAATCCCTGAGGAATCAGACACAAGGCCTCCCGTTCTGTCAGGCGATCTGTCGACGTTCTCTTTTAACAGAAAAAAAAAGCTTCAAGATGTTCAACAGCAGGTCTGGGGTATCCCTGGGCAGCCAACAAATGATTCCAGAAACTTGACTTCACACACACGCAAAAAAAGGGAGACATCTTACCCAGCATTCCCTGCGGTATAGAAAGTTCCCTGTCCACAAACCAGAAGGATAGTACGCAGGCGCAGTGCTAAATGTGTGGAGTGCGCATGTGGAGACCGGCCTTTGTGGGTGGAAGGAGGTGCATTTGCTGACTCCGGAAATGTTACGAGAAAACGCGGAAAGAAGGGGGCTGATGAATCCAGCAGGTCGACGGAGGGCTTCATGAATAGGCTGAAGCCGTGAAAAATAACTTGCGGCCTGCTGTCTCCGCCGAATAGATTCTCAGCTCCAAGCGTGAGACTCCCGGGGAGCGGTTGCCATCTTTGTTGGGGCACTGGATAGAAGAGCGCATGCGCAATCGCCATCTTTGTAGGGTAATGACGGGGGAAGTCTTGCTGCCCATTCTTCAGAATCTGTCCATCAAGCTGCATTAACCTTTCATAACCAAAGCCAAACTGATGGGGCAGAGCGGCGGCACAAAAAGGAAAGGAAAGGAAGCAACACCTGCTGTTCGCATCCCACAGCCGCATAGGATACCCAGCCTCATGTGTCCGAAGAGCTGGGGTTGGGATCAGTTACGCCCCTGAGTAGACATCACCTTGGAACCGAGGGATCGCCGACCTCCAGGAGCAGTGTGCAGCAGGGAGCATGTATGGTCATCCTGGGCCAGGTGGACGGGACGTTGTGAATTGTTCTGGACTGACAGTGATAGATTCTGTAAACTGCTTTTACAGAATGCTAGAAGCAGAAGGTTTATACGCAGCAACTCAAAATCCAGAGAACTGTTTGCCTTCTCTCGATGCTTATGCTGGACTGAAGTAAATTTTTTAAAGTTTCTTTACAGAGCATTAGAAGAGGTATTGCCGTCAGCAAGTTCCAAACAAACAAATCAATATCTAACAGAATCATTCAATTCGTCAGGACCTGGATAGATCGGACTTGGATTGTAAGCATTGAGTTCCTGTTCTTAACCATTCACTGTGTGAAATGTTGTCCTATCATCCACCCTGTAGATCTTCCCAAAATCTTAAGTCTCTGACCTGTAATCTTTAGAAAGTTTTTCTTTACCCACATTATATAAACCAGTCATACATTTGTTTATCTCTAACAGATCTTCCTCAACCTTGTTTTTACAACTTCATCTTTAAAATAAAACTCACCATTCCTCAAAACATTCTTTTAAACTGCCACTGCCCCCTCTTATCCTTCACAATGTGTGGTGATCTCTGGTTTGCATAGACCCAGTAACATAATCACGCATTGACAATCGCATAGTGGCATCGCTGCACTCCCTGAGGATCTCATCAACTGTGAGATTTTTCTCTGACTCCAGCGCTTCTGGCATAGAAAGTCACAGAAGTGGCCTTCAGTCCAACTCGTCTGTGCCGTCCAGGTATCCTAAATAAATCTTGTCCTATATGCCTGCATTTGGCCCATATCCCTCTAAACCCTTCCTATTCAGATGCCAATTCAGATGCCTTTTAAATGTTGTAAGTGTACCAGCCTCCACCACTTCCTCTGGCACCTCCTTCCATACATGCACCACCCTGTGCATGGGAATGAACTCCAATGTCCAGGCATAGAGTCATATAGCATGGAAACAGACCCTTCAGTCCAACTAGTCCACGCCAACCATAATCCCAAACTAAATGAGTCCCACCTGCCTGCGCTTAGCCCAAATCCCTCCAAACATTTATTATTCATCCATTTATCCAAGTGTCATTTAAATGTTGTAACTGCACCTGCATCCAACACTTCCTCTAGAAGTTCATTCCACACAGAAATCACTCTCTGTGCAAACAAAAAAGTTGCCCCTCATGTCTTTTTTAATACTTTATCCTCTCAAGTTAAAATTATGCCCCCTCGTCTAGAAATTTCCCACCCAAGGGAAAAGATACATATCCAGCCTCTCCTTATAATTCAAACTCTCCATTCCTGGCAATGTCCTGGTAAATCTTTTCTGAACCCTCTCCAGTTTAACAATATCCTTCGTATAGCAGGGCAACCAGAACTGGAGACACTACTGTAGAAGAGGTCTGACCAACTTCCTGTACAACCTTAATATGATGTCCCAACTCCTGTCCTCACAGGTCTTGCAAGGAAGGCAAGCGTGCTAAATGTCTTCCCAACCACCCTGTCTATACAGATCTTCTGCAAGGAGCTCCACAATTTCCTCCTTAAATTCACACAACATTCTAGAATACAGTAGATCAGGTCCTAGAGATTTATCCACCTTTGTATTTTCTAAGACCCCTCTTCTGTAAGGTTTTCAAACATCAAATTTATTTCCCTGAGTTCTCTAGTCTCCATTTCTTTTTTCACAGTAAAAACTGACACAAAATATTGATTTAGTATCTCTCCCATCTCCCGAGCTTCAACACAAAGTTAATGTGTGAATGTCAATAGAATCTCTTTGTATTTAACCTTATCTGCCAAGGCTATCTCATATCTTCTCTTTGCCTTCCCAATCTCCCTTTTAAGAATGCCCCTAAACTCTTTAAACTGTTCAAGAGATTCATTTGAACATAGTTGTCTCTATCTAATATATGATATATTTTTTAAAATTCTTGACTATAACCTCAATATCTTAATTCATCCATTGTTCCCTAATCCTACCAGCCTTGCCTTTCATTCCGACAGGAACATAATGACTCTGAACTCTCATTCACACTTTTGAAAGCCTCCCACTCATCACATGTCCCGTTGCCTGAGAAAAGTCAACTCCAATCAACTTTTGAAAGTTCTTTTCTGATACTATTTAAATGTGCCTTACTCCAATTAAAACATCAACTTTTATGGAACGCTTATCCTTGTCCATAACTATTTTAAAACTAATGGAATTACGATCACTAGACCAGAAGTGTTCCCCTGCTATCACTTGAGTCACATGCTTTGCCTTATTACCCAAGAGAAGGTCATGTTTTGCTCCTTTCCTAGTAGGAACATTTACATATTGATAAAGGAAATTTCATTGAATGTATTTAACAAAATCTTCACCGTCCAAACCACCCATCAACACTATGTTGTCCCAGTCAATGTTTGGAAAATTAAAACCATCTACTCATACAACCTTATTATTGTTACATATATCTGAGATCTCTCTTCATATTTGTTCTTCAATGTCCCTCTGACTATTTGGGGGGTGGGGAGGGAGGAAAATGCCTGTGGTACAATCCCATCAAGGTGATCATTCCTTTCTTATTTCTAATTACAACCCATATATTTTCACTGGTCAATTTTTTAGAAATGTCTTCTCTAGTTCCAGCAGTAATGTTTTCCTCAATAACACCACTCCCTCTCCTCTTTTCTTCCCCCCTCTCTTGCTATCTGTGGCATCTGAAACCCAGAACATTGAACTGCAAGAACTGTCCACTCCTTGGCCACGTTTCTGTAATAGCTATGACATCCCACTCCCATGTTCCCAAACATGCCCTGAGTTCATTCGCCTGACCTGTAAGATCCCTTGCATTGAAATAAATTCTAATTCTTCAGAGTTACTTCATTCTCTGACTTGCTCTTGTCTGTCTTATCTAAGTAACTTGTTCTTTATGATTCAGAACCATCCTTAGTGTTGACTCTGCTACTTGGGATCCCTCCACACCTTCTCTCTAATAGTCTACAGTGTCCTTTAGTAGAAAGAGCAAATCTCTCTGCCAGGATATTGGTCCCTTTTCACTTAAGGTGAAACCTATCCTTTTAGAACAGGTCTTTTCTCCCCCAGAAGAGATGCCAATGATCCAACAACCTGAATCCCTGAACATTAAACCACCTGTTTAGAAATTGGTTTATCTCCTTTATCCTTCTATTCCTTCCCTCATTTAAACTTGGCACCAGGATTAAACAAGAGATTGCTACTTTTGAGGTTCCGTTTTTCAATCTTCTACCTAACCTCTTATATTCACTCTGTAAAGCCTTAATCTTTTCCCCAACTATGTCATTGCCACAAATATGTACAAGAACTGCAGGGTTCTTGCTCTCCCCTATGACAATATGCTTCAAATGTTTTAAGACATCCTTGATCCTTGCGTCAGGAAAGCAACATATTATCCAAGATTCACGCTTACTGCTGCAGAATCTCCTGTCTGTGTCCTGACAGAAGAGTCCCCTATAACAAGTACTCTTTTAAATTTTGTCAAACCTTGGCTAAGATAAGATTCATTTTTAGTTCCCAAGATCTGACTGCCTCTTCTATTTTCCTCTTAGAGACTGTGCCTTTCAACAGTATCCAAAACTGAATATCTGAGAGAAGAGTAGCCACAGGAGACTCCTGAACTACCTGCTTACCTTTCCTAATAGTCACCGATCTATCTGACTGATCCTTCTGTGTAATCACTTCTCTAAAACTACTAACCATCCAGTACTATGTCTCTTGTATGCCCAATGACATCAAGCCTAAAAGAAGCAGCTTTCAATAGCTTGATTATACAATAAACTGCCTTTGATTACCCAAAGAATTAACCTTAAACATGCAAAGAATAAAAAAAAACTTAAATACAATCAACCATTTAGCTGAACAATCAAATTAAAAAAATCCTCCTTCTGCAGACAGCTTTCAATCCGAGAACGTAGAACAATACAGCATAGGAACAGGTTTTTCTAACCTCTCCTTATAGCTCATACCCTCTAATCCAGGCAGCATCCTGGTAAACCTCTTCTGCACTCTCTCCAAAGCCTCCACGTGCTCCCTGTAATGTGGTGACCAGAATTGAATGCAATACTCCAAATATGACCAAAGTCTCAGTAATGACATCCTGACTGTTGTACTCGGTTCTCCGACCAATAAAGGCAAGCATGCCATACACCTTCTTTTGCACCCTATCTACTTGTGTGGCTACTTTCAGGGAGCTATGGACTTGAACCCCAAGATGCCACTGTACAACAATGCTGTTCAGGGTCCTGCCATTAACTGCATACTTTGCATTAACATTTAAACACCATCTGCCATTTTGCCAACCATATCTGTAACTCATCTATATCCTCTGTATCCTTTGACAACCTTCTACACTACCCATAGTCTACTGATCTTCGTATTGTCTGTAAGCTTACTAACCTACCCATCTACATTTTCATCCAAGTCATTTATATATATGGCAAACAGCAGAGGTCCCAGTGTGGACCCCATGTAACATTAAGCATGCTCCATATAAATCTCACTATCCTCCGAATCTTTCACCTGGGTGAATACTGATGCAAAGTACTCATTTAGGATCTCACCCATATTCTCTGCCTCCAAGCACAAGTTCCCTTCTTTATCCTTGAGTGGTCCTACCTTCTTCCTAGATATCCTCCTGTTTTTAATGTATGTATAGAATGCCTTGGGATTCTCTTTTACCCTACGTACTAGGGTCATTTCATGGCCCCTTCTCGCTCTCCTAATTCCCTGCTTCAGTTCTTTCCTGCATTCTTCATATGCTTTATGGGCCCTCTCTGATTTTAGCTTTCTAAACTTTAAATGTGTTTTTTTCCCTTTTGACTAAATTCACAACCTCTCTCATTAGCCAGGGGCCCCTTACCTTGTCCTTCCTGCTTTCCGGAACATACCGGTCCTGAACTATCATCAGCAGGTCTTTAAACAATTCCCACATGTCAAATGTGGGCTTGCTTGATAACAGCTCCCTCAATTAACCTTCCCTTGCTCCTGCCTAATATTGATGTAATTTGCCCTCCCCCAATTTCAGACCTTGCCACAAGGTCCTGACGTATCCTTATTTATAGCTATCTTAAAACTTTAGAGTTGTGATCGCTGTTTCCAAAATGCTGTCTCTCTAAAAGGTCAGTCAACTGGCCGAGCACGTTAGCCAATACAAAGTCCGGTATGGCCCATCCTCTAGTTGGGCAATCCACATATTGTTTCAAGAAACCCTCTTGGATGCGCTTAAATAATTCTGCCTCATCTGAAGGGAGTGCCAATCAATGTTGGGGAAGTTAAAGTCACCCAATGTGACAATCCTGCTGTTATTGCATCTTTCCATAATCTGCCTACATCCTCAATGTCTCGGTTTGGGGACTTTTAGTATAGTCGCATTAGTGTGACTGCATCCATTGCATTTTTGAGCTGAACCTGTATTGCCTCAGTGGATGAGCCCTCCAGTATGTCCTGTCTGATTTTAAAAAAAAACCTCAATCCAGAGCCTTCCACGTGCAGACCTCTCTAAAAGCTCAGTAAATGACTCTATTTAAAAAAAACTCTCCTGCGTGATTTTTTTTTTAAAAAAAGCTCTCCTGCGCATAAATTTTTTTTAGCATATAATTTTAGAAATGAAAAGCTTAAACTGCACTCATTTTGGCTTGTCCAAAAGCTCCATAAACACAACTCCATTTGAAATTTTGTTTTTTTTTCCTGCGTTTTTGACTATAAAAGAACCAAAATGAATCAAAATAAAAACCTTATACCACTGAAATCTAATAACGATAAGAAATCGAGAAGTAAGCTTGCAATCTCAGGAGCAACTGCAAGATCCATGCTACCACCATTTTTTTTAAAGAGATTGTTCCGTCTGCTGGTTCCAGAGTAGGTTTTAAAACTGAAAACAGTGAAGTTGTTTCAGATATGAATATTTTTGAGCACTTGCTGACAATTTAGAGCTTACAATGACATGCTCTGTGAGAGGTTGCATAGCTCACATCTATCCATTACTCTTTTTCACTTCCGCCTTCCCGATCACCTCTGTCATTATATAACTACCTCTATCTCTAATAAGTGGTGTATGTTAGATCTGTTTAGTATTTAATGTTAATTCTGCTGAGTCCCTGTAAATGAGGTTTCCAGCTACCCATCCCCTGAACAATGCCACTGACTTAACAATTTTATCTTCTACAGTGTGTTTCACAATCAAGAAATGTTTCTTTTTCTCTGTGCTATCATCCATCTTTCCTCCCCATCTGTGCTTACATTGACAATTAACTTCACTATTTTGTAAACTAAAAATGTAACTCCGTCTCTGACCAGCTGAGGATTTCCAGTATTTGCACTTTGATATGAGATTTCCAGCAGCTGCATTATTTGCTATTGCTTTATTGCAGGTGTTGCTCACAGAACCGAGTGTAGAAACACAGTCAGACCAATACACAGCTACTTTGTGTTCGGATTTAATAGGTTATAGAAGTCAGCCCCTAGCTCCGTTCTCACTGAGTGATTACAAATATGGAAGGAGGTTATTTAGCCCATTGTAGCAGTTCCTAATTTCTTGCAGTTTTCTCATAGCCCAGTATTTTTTCTCTCTTCAAATGCTTATCTAATTCCCTTTAGATAGCCTTTGTTGCATCAGTTGAGTTGGACTGGAGTGCTGAGTTAAATCCCAAGGAATACTGGAATGCAATCAGACCCAGCAATTTCCAACATGAAATTGAAGGGAGGTGGATTCATCAGGCGTTAATAACACTGAGAAGATGAACTTCCTTCCCAGTGTGGACTCAGTGGTATTTGGCTGAGAGGTGACGGCTTTCCCATGTAGCAGCTGCTGTTTTCTTTCTAGGGAGTGGAGGTTTGAGGCTTTAAGATTTTCTGTCAAAATTCTAGTTGAATTCCAGATGGATCCAGTCCATCACTTTCATACATCCTTAATCTCTCACTCTCTCTTGCTGTTCTCCCATTGTGTTGTATGTGCAGAACATAAAATGAGTCTACATATATTAACCAGCAGACTAGTGGGTTCTCCCACTCCCTTGATTCTGTTTAAAATTCATTTTACTTGATATTTACAGGGAAGAATTTGTAATCCCAGTTCTCCAACTAAGTGTCACATCAGGATCTGATGGAAACGGTCAACTCATCGGGATGTGAGCATCATTCACATTTCAAAATGGATAAAAAAAAACACCATTCAGAGTGGAGAGAAGCCATGGAAATGTGGAGACTGTGGGAAGGGATTCAATTACCCATCGCAGCTGGAAACTCACTGGCGCAGTCACACTGGTGAGCGCCCATTTAGCTGCTCTGTATGTGGCAAGGGATTTACTCAGTTATCCAATGTACTGACTCATCAGCATGTTCACACTGAGGAGAGAAGGTTTAAATGCTCTGACTGTGAAAAGAGCTTTAAAAATCAATATGCACTGACTGAACACCAGCGAGTTCACAACAGGCATGCACCATTCAGCTGCTCCCAGTGTGGGAAGAGCTTCAGGACATCATCCCAACTACTGAGACACCAGCAAGTTCACACTGACGAGAGACCTTTTAAATGTCCAGACTGTGGGAAATGCTGCAAAAGCTCCAAGGATCTGATGTCCCATCAACTAGTTCATACTGAGGACAAACCATTCAAGTGCTCTCACTGTGGGAATGGGTTCAGACGATCATCTGACCTCACTGTACACCAGCGAGTTCACACTGGGGAGAGGCCGTTCACTTGCTCCCAGTGTGGGAAAAGATTTACTCAGTCATCCCACCTGCTGACACACCAGCGAGTTCACTCTTCTGAGAGGCCATTCACCTGCTCTGATTGCGGGAAGGGATTCACTCAATCATCCACTTTGCAGAATCACCAGAGAATCCATTCTGAAAAGAGGCCGTTCACCTGCTCCGATTGTGGGAAGGGATTCACTCGGTCATCCACTTTGCTGAGACACCAGCGGGTTCACACTGACGAGAGACCTTTTAAATGCTTGGACTGTAAGAAGTGCTTCAAAAGTTCTGGGGAACTCATGTACCATCAACGTGTTCACACCGATGAAAAACCGTTCAGATGCTCTCACTGTGGGTCTGGGTTCAGGCGATCATGGCAACTCAGTGAACACCAAATGATTCACACTGGGAAGAGGCCATTCTCCTGCTCTGTGTGTGGGAAGGGATTCACTCATTCATCCAACCTGCTGAGACACCGGCGAGGTCACAAGTAACAGCAGGGTTTGGTTTCTGCTGTTAATCACAACCAGGACTGAATAATTTTCATTCAGAGAGGCAGTGGGTGGGTGTTGATCCTGATTTCAGTTACCCCAGTTAGTTAATGGTGCCCAGCAGCATCTCTCGTTCATACGTGAACGGACCATCATATCTGCGCATCTTATTTTTAAATTGAAATTTGCTCAGGATCAACATTGAACTGAAGGGGAACAATAAACTGATCAGAGTACCGTAACTCCAGGATGAGACTGTGTAAGCTCTGAATGTTGGGAATCTCCCCCTGATCTGTTCGATAGACATGCTTTTTAAACCTGTCAGATATCGAAGGAATTCTTCTTCGAATAACTTCACCAACTGATCACCTCAGATTCCTCCCTGCTGTAATGGATACTCATCCATTGGAGCTGATTTACACTGACTGACCTGTGGCATCTTTGTTCCTTTTGTGAAGTCACTGTCCCCATTAGAGCTGAACTGCTGGATAACTCTGACACTCGTACATTTCTATACAGAAACTGTCAGTGCAAATTTAACTGTAAGTTGTAAATAGTGTCAATGGCATGATATAGTGTGCAGTTCTGGTCAACAGAGGGTGGAGAGGGTGCAAAATAGGATGTTGCCTGGACTGGAGTATATTAACTGTAGAGAGGTTGGACAAGTTGGATTGTTTTCACTGATGTATTGAATGCTGAGGGGCGATATGATAGAAGTACATCAAATTATGAGAGGCATGGGATAGTCTGAATCTTTTTCCCTGGGAGGGAAATGCCAAATACCAAGGGGCATGGGTTTAAGATGAGAAGGGAAAAATTTAAAGGAAATGTGTGAGGAAGGTTTTTTTTCACAGAAGAGGTAAGTGCCTGGAATGTGATTATGGGGAGGTGGTAGAAGAAGAAATAAAAGCCATGTTTAAGAGGTACTTAGACAGAAATATGAACAGGCAGGGATATATGGACCTTGTGCAGGCAGCTGGGATTAGTTTAGAATGGCATCATGCTTGGCCTCTTCCTGTGCTATTCTATGTTCAATATAGTCTCAGATCTTGGTGATTTTTCATGAAAGATTGAATTCTCACATAGAGCAACTTCTCATAGACTGAGGTTTAATGAATAGCAGATATAGGAGCAGGAGTCATCCATTCAGACATTAAAGCCTGATCCTCCTGAACTTTCTCCCATTTTCCTGAACTATCCCCATTTCCCTTTACTCTATACATTACATTAAAGCAAACTGAAATGTCTGACTTAAAAGTATTCAGTGACTGAGAATCCACAGCTCCTTGGAGTAGAGATTTAGAGTACTTTGAAGAAATTGCATTTCACCTCTGAAATGGTCATCTCCTTATTGTTTCAGTGGACAGAATAATGCCAGGAGGCATTTCAGAATTTAAAAACAGGTGTTAAGCATCGCAACAGTTTTAGCTGTGCCAAATTCCTTGAAACCCTTCAAAGTCGCCATCAACGCAAGCGATGTAGGTGTTGGAGCTGTGTTGTTACAGGAGGATGATTGTGGAATTGAAAGGCCAATTGGTTATTTGTCAAAAAATTAATAACCACCAGAAAAAGAATTCAACCATTGAAAAAGAGTTATTGAGTTTGGTAATGGCCTTAGAACATTTTAATATTTACGTTGCAACCAATGCATCAGAGACGATTGTGAACACCAATCACCATCCTTTGACTTTTCTGGAAAGATTTAAGGACAAGAACATCAGATTATTTCGTTGGAAATAATGTTACAAGCGTTTAATTTACAGATTGTACATGTTGCAGATAATGAAGGTATTATTGCAGATGCTTTTATCGCAGGTTTAAAAGAAAAATGTTCATGTAAGATAGAAACAGTAGTGTTCAGTTGTAATATAAATAGAATTTGTATAAAATGCGTAACTTCAGATTAATGAGCTATGGATCTAGTAATAATGGAGTTAAGGTTTTAAAAGAAAAAAATAGAAGCCATCTTTTCATAATGATGGTGTAAAATGGATGTCTGTGAGCAGCTTGAAGGTTTGCAAGTACACAGAGAGCACCCAAATCGAAACATTTGCATCAAAAGGCTGTAGAGTTAACAGCCCAGCAGTAGTTTTGTTTTTTTAACCAAGACAAGCAGTTTTGAATTTAGCCAATCATTTTGAACAAGACACTTAGATACCAAAAGCCTGTCAAATTTAAATTGGATGGTTTTGACAACATAGACCAATCCTATTGAAAGAAATTGACATGTGACACACACAGAGACGGCCTTCATCCCTGTCTCTCTCACAGACACTCACACAGAGACTACATTCTTCCCTCTCTCTTTCTGAGACAACCTATCCCCTTCTCTCCCACACAGAAAGACAACCTCCATCCCTCTCTCTCACACAGAGAGACTACCTCCATCCTTCTCTCTGACAGAGACACACACACACAGAGGGACGACATCCATCCCTCTCTCTCAAACAGACACACACACACACACACAGAGACTACCTCTCGCGCGCTCTCACACACAGACACATACACAGAGAGACTACCTCCATCCCCCTCTCTCTCTCTCTCTCTCTCTCGCACACACACACGCACACACACACACACACACACACACACACGACCTCCATCCCTCTCTCACACACACAGAGATGACCTCCATTCCTCTCTTGCACACAGACACAGAGACGACCTCCATCCCTCTCTCCCACACAGACACACACACACACACAGACCATCTCCATCTTTCTCTATCACACAGGCGCACACACGCAGAGACTAACTCCATCCCTGTCTCACACAGACAGAGACTACTTCCATCCATCTCCCCCACACAGACACACACACACCGAGACTACCTCCATCACTCTCCCTCACACAGACGCATGCTCACAGATACTACCTACATTCCTCACTTTCACACAGACACACACACAGAGAAGCTACCTCCAATCCTCTCTCTCACACAGACACATGCTCACTGACATTACCTCCATCCATCTCTCTCACAGACACAGAGATTACCTCCATCCCGCTCTCCCACACAGACACACATGCACACAGAGACTGCCTCCATCCCTCTCTGCCACAGACACAGAGACAATCTCCATCCCTCTTCCTCACACAGACACAAACACACAGAGACAACCTCTAACCTTCTCTCACACAGACACACACACAGAGAGACTAGCTCCATACCTCTCTCCTACACAGACACACACGGAGAGACTGCCTCCATCCCTCTCTCTCTCACAGACACACACACACAGACTACCTCCATCCCTCTCTCTCACACAGACACACACACACAGAGACAACCTCCATCCCGCTCTCCCCCACACACACACACACACACACACAACTTCCATCCTGCTCTCTTGCACGGAAACACAGAGAGAGAGACTACCTCCATCCCGCTTTTTCACACAGACACTCACACACACAGGGACTACCTCCATCTCTCTCACACACACACACAGACACACACTCTTCCCACCTGCCAGGGAGGAACTTAAGCCTCTAGACCAGTCATCGGTTTACCACTGTAATCACTTATTACAACATAATCGACATTCATATTTAAGCCTTCTCTTAATTGTGTTTACCCGAATCTGAAAAGAACCACTTGGATACATGCTGTAATCCCAAGACAGAGGAATAAGTCGTTTGGAGGGGATCTAATGAAACATTTTTTCACCTGGTGCGGTATGAATATCGGACGCGCTACCGTAGACGATGGTTGAAGCAGAGAGTGTGGAAACACTCAAGGAACCTCCGGAGTAACACTTAAAATCCCAAGGCATGGTATGTTATGGATCAAATGCAGATAAGTGGAATTACTCGAGTTTGGTTTTTGTTGGTCTGTTTTGACATGGCAGGGTGGGGGGTGGGTGAGTGAGGGTGGGTGAGGAGCCTGTTTCTCTGCTGCATGACTCTGTGAACACATACATCAACCCAACACGAACATACCCTCGACTTATATAGAGATAAACCAACCCCACGAGTATTGTACCCCAGTGTCAAACAGTGACAGGCCTGTTCCCACCAGTACTATAATCCAACTCTTACTTGATGATGTGATCAGACTTTGTGATAATGTGCGAAACAGATGCGAAACAGGGACATCACCAGAAATACTGATTACAATGGGCATAAGTTATTCTGTGGTTGATGTGATATATGTTTTCCAGAACAGTCAGGCATGGAGCAGTTGAACAAGATTAGACATCAAAGTGTTTCCACTGTGTGATCACGCATGAGTGATTGACTGACACAGAGAGAAAGTGTGGAGCAAGTCTCTACGTGGTCTGTCATTGCTCAGTGGGCATCTGTTTCACAAGCACAAGAATTCTCCCTTATCTCTCACTTCCTCCAGAGCCCACAACACATCGCATGTCTGGAACTGTCTGCAGCCCCTTTGTGTATCTCATCCTCCTTTTCCTACACTTCCTCACAAATCTCAGTCCTTCATCCCCCGCTGCCCTGTTGATCTCGAAGATCTCAATTCCGTCTGACATTTTGTACCTCTGTAACTTCTTTACAATGCCGTCTGTCCCTCTTCCCAAAACCTGCTTCTGCTCCTGAGATCTTGCACCATCTCGTAGAAATTCCTTCCTCTCCCACTGCCCCTTGCATCCCTGCAGCACCTTCTATCTTCTCCAATCTGCTCCATCTTTATACCCTCTTCCAGCCACAATACTTCTCACCAACTCTATTACATCTACCGGGTGGTATCACCCTCCCTGTCAGTGTATACATCAGGAAGTTGGAGGGCTGTGTGTCGAAAATAGTGCAGACATTGTGGGAGAACCTCATTCAATAAATGGATACATCATCCAGACTGGATAGGACTTCAGTATCAATCCATCAGTTGAGTCAAACAGGATTTTCCTTTTCTTTCT